AAATGTTTGACATTAGCCTCACCTTCGGTCCTCAGATCTCCTCAAGGCTGATTTCCACACACTTAGTTGAGGAGTCGGGTTGAGGGGAATGAGATCATGCAGCCAAGCCTGGAACTTTCCGAGCCTCTATACTGCCTGTCTTTCCACACGCCAGCTGAGCAGGGACATCAAGGCTGCTGCACTTTGGAAATAGGCTGTGGGGGATAAATGCTGAGCATTGTGGGCTGGTGAAAGGGACTCTGTTGGGCTGGGAGGTCTGTCCCTGTGCACCCTGGAACCACCTTGCACAAACAGGCAGGGCATGAGGTGGGCCCAGTGTCTGGGCCCCAGGAGAACCTCTTGGGCCAGGCTGCAGGCTCCAGAGAGCCCTGAGACAGCCACACCTTTAAGGGGTGTGTTGTTTGGAAGGCAGCTCAAAGTGCTTGCTGGAGCCCACACCAGCCCTTTGAAATATAGGGCCACGTCATGAACTTGTGGGGAGGGGATGGGGCAGCTGAGATTCACAACTGGGAGATGAATTGGGAGATTCAGCAACTTCCACCCACCACCCTGAGAGCAGCAGGCTGAACTTCCAAGGTCTCACCAGAGCCCTGAGAGGTGGCGCCTGCCAGCATGGCACATGACTGAGTCTATCTCAGTGCCATCTCATCTCAGGGTCCCAGCCCAGGGGAGCCCAGAGCCAGCTCTTACTACTGTGTAGGTCAGCTCTAGGGGGCTTGGTGAGGACAGGCCTGGATGCCTTTGTGATAAGGATGGTGAGTAATCTCCTCCAAACTCATCGCCCCTGTTTAACCTTGAGAAAATGTACAGACAACAGAATATTATTCAGCAATCAAAAAGATAAACTTCCGCCATTTGCAGCAACATGACTGGAGCTGGAAGGGATTCTGCTCAGTGAAATAAGCCAGAAAGACAAAGAAAAGTATCCGATGGTTTCACTCATAGGAGGAATGTAGGGAACCAAATAAGGGATCAGGAAAAAGATTACAATCAATTAAAAAACAAAATTAACAGGCAATTATTAATCAGAGACACTCTGCAGGGGAGGAAGTAGGGGAGGGGGGGATGGGAGGGAGTTGCACAAGGGACGATGGTGATGGGCCACCAGTGACTTGGTGGTGGGGGTTTTAAGGGGAATACACCGGAGAGCAGAAAGCGTGCATTGCACAAAAAGGACGAGTGATGTAAAGTGTATCTCAATAAATAAAATGACTTTGAGGGCCTCCCTGGTGGCGCAGCGGGTTAAAGCACAGCACTGAGAAGCTAAAGCCACTTCCGCATGAGTTTGATCCCCCCCTGCCCCGGAGGAGACCACATGGCGCAGCAGACCTCTCCTGACCCACCCGCTGCTCCCCTCAGCAGTGTACTTCATCGATCTGCTTGTAAGCTCCCCACTCTGTCTCTGGTGAAGCTTCTTGCCGCCCCTGAACCTCTGGCCTGTACCCCAGTTCTGTATGAACAAATAAATAAATCTTTAGAAAAAATAAAATAAAATGACTTTGAGAAAACAGCAGAGAAGAAGAAACAGACCCAAATTGAAGGAAAGTTTACCAGTCCTCCTTGAGACTGTTTTGGCCATCCCAAACCCAGGGCCCTCTGACGGACACCAGGGCTAGAGTCCGGGCAGTCTGGGGAGCTGAGGTGACCAACTGTAACGTGGCTCCGGACCCAGGCCTGGTGGCTCGGGAGGCTCCCAGGCCTCCTCCCTGACCCCTCCTGCCCATATGCACATCATCTTCCTTCTCCCTCAGCTCCTGGGGTCTGTGCCAGAGCTTGGTACCCCAGTCTCCAGAAGCTGTGGTCCCCACATTATTTCAGGGTGCTGAGTGGTCCCTCCAGAGGGCATGCTCCTTTCTGCTTCATCAGTATCTGCACTGAGACAGGGTACCTGCAGGTGAAAGGTGGCATCAGGGGGCCCCACGCAACCCCAGCTGTGTGCATACTGCATCTGAGTGACCTCCCGCTCAGCCAGGTGGCCCCTCCCAGCCCTACCTCCTACGTGGCCCTCCTGGCGTCCCAGACTGCTGGTGGCAGCCCCGGCAGCAGGGGCCACTGGGGGCCTTGATGGTTTGAGGACCAGAAATGAGTAACATGGCAGGAATCTGCCCCGTGTCCACCGGGCCCACTTGCAGAGAGAGAGGGCAGGAAGGCAGCGGTGTTGCGTGACTTCCGGATGCCCAGGGCTGTGCAGCTGCCACCACCCAAGTACCCCAGTGACCGTCTCCTCTCCCCACCTGTGTGTGTGCTGAGGGCCCAGATGTAACTGTACAGAGAGCGCTTGCCTGAGACCATCCTGGCTCAGCAGGGCACATTGCCCTGATGTAGAAGGCCATGCTCTGGCATTGGGGGGGGGGGCTGAGATTTTTTTGTAAAAGATTTATTTATTTGTGCATACAGAACTAGGGTACAAGCCAGAGGGGCAGGAGCAGTGAGAAGCTTCACCAGAGACAGAGTGGGGAGCAGAACAGTCAGATCGACAAAACACACTGTTGAGGGGAGCAGCGGGTGGGTCAGGAAAGGTCTGCCACGCCATGTGGTCACCTCCGGCTCACACAGGGATCGAACTCATGCGGAAGTGGCTTTAGCTTCCCAGTGCTGTGCTTTGACCCGCTGCGCCACCAGGGAGGGCCTGAGATGTTATTTAAGAATCATTGTATTGCAGACCACCGCGTCAGGGGATCGGCCAAGGATCCTGTTGGAATTCTGTTAGGAGAGAACTTGTGTATGTGATGGGCTGCCCGCCCCTCCTATGGCTTCCCTAAGGTGGGGCAAGTGCTCAAATCTGCTTCCGTGAAGTCCTTGCCCTGCTGGGAAGGGAGGCGAGAGGGGTGGACAGAGGCTGTGCCTCCTGTTGGACCCCCCATCATCCACGTGATGGGTGTTGTGGGGGCCTCTCTCCCATGGCGGGTGCTAGTCTTTGGTCTCTGCTGGGTCCAGGCATGGTGCCAGGTAGGCCCTGGCACAAGCATGGCTCTGGCTTCTCTTGAGTCCGTATCCTCTCTGCCTGAGTGGTTTGCTCACAGCTGGGGCAGCGGCCAGTGCTGGGCACTGGGAGGGTGGGCTGTGGCCCCGGGCACCAGTATGGCTTCTGCCCTGCCCCTTGTGCCCACAGCCCAGCTCTGCCCTTGGCTGGCCCAGGAGAGGTGTCGGCACAGCAACAGGCCTAGACTACCCCTGGCTTTCCCCTCCCCGTGCGACTGTCACAGGCAGAGTTGGCCACTCTCCATTTGCTGGGCTGTGGGCTGGTTTCTTTGCTCATGAGCTGAGGGGCACGGAGAGTTGAAAGTGGCACAGCAGGGCCGTGCATGACGCTCCAGCCCAGTGCCCAGGAAGCTGAGAGGACAGAAATGAGACACTGGGCTCCAATTCTCCACCACCGATGTGCAATGAACTGCCTGTATGACTCGCTCATTATTTCCAGATGCTGAGTTGACAAGAGACAGCCGTATGCCAGTCCTGTGGCACCAGAATGTTCCCCACTCTGCAGAAACAGGACATTCCAAGGAATTACTCCATGTACCCCAAGTTGGCCCTCCTGGGGGCAGAGCTGGGATTTGATCCCTGGGCTCCGGCTCCCACTCTGCATTGCTTCCCCGTTGCAGTTCCGACTGCTCCTCGCTGAGCTGCTTGCTTCTCCTTTCAGACAATCCTTTCTCTCTGGAATCGTGTCCAACTAAGGGATCAGTTACGTAAGTCACAGCCCAGCCCCTGGCCACATTAGAGAGGATGCTTTGCAATACCCAGCAAGCCTCATGAAGCAAGCAAGATGCCTAAGTATATTTAATATGGTTATAATTTATAAAACGAGACACACATGGCAGGAAGCATGTTAATAGTGGTCAATTACTTATCTGTAAGAACATGGGTGATCTCATTTTCTTGTTTTACTTTTTGGTTACTTTTCAAAGCTTTTGCAGTGAAATGTTTTACATTTAGAAGAAAGTTACTTCAAACTAAAAAATAAAGACAGCTGGCGTTGCCCACGAGGACAGCTCAGGGCATGGCCTGTGCAGGAGTGGGTCCTGGGGTGGACAGGCAGAGGCTGTGTCCATCGCTCATGGACACCGTTCAGTGGCTTCCCGAGCAGAGGGGTGGTTATGACTGCAAGGCGCCGTCCCCAGGCCCAGGGCCCGTGGGAGGAGGAGTCATGCCCCCTGGGTCCCCAGCTGGCCTGTGCCTGAGAATCACGGGGGTCTGGTTCAAACAGACTTGGGCCCAGGAGGCGGGGCCCAGGACTCTGCATTCTAGCAAGCTTCTTGGTGACGTTGCTGCATCTGGGCCGGGGCCCCAGAGCATTCCCCTTTGCATTTGCGCTGGAGGAGTCGGACACCACAGGGACCATGGTGACACCTGTGGCAATTGGGGAGAGGCACAGGGATGTCTGGGAGGGCGGCGGGAGGAGGAGTTTGGAGGAGCTTCAGAGCTGTGGGAGGATATGGACAGGGGGCTGAGCTGGAGACCAGGCATCGCTCAGGGCTGGAACTGGGCGAGCCAAGGCAAAGAGGCGCTTCTGCAGCTCCTGAACTGCCTGGCCACTCTCTGCCTCAGTTTCTTTTTCTGTGAAGCATGCTAAGAATGCCTGACTGATAAAGAACTGGAAAGGATGAAATTGGATACTATGTCAGGCACCTAACCTAGTAGCTGTATGGACTATGCCCTCAATGAAACTTTGCTTCTCTCTCTTTCTCTCTTTTTTAAAGATTTATTTATTTGTGCATACAGAGCTGGGGTACAGGCCAGAGGTGAAGGGGTGGTGAGAGGCTTCACCAGAGACAGAGTGGGGAGCAGAACAGGCTGACCGATGAAGTGCAATGCTGAGGGGAGTGGCGGGCGGGTCAGGAGAGGTCTGCTGTGCCATGTGGATCTCCTCCGGGGCAGGCGGGGATCAAACTCATGCGGAAGTGGCTTTAGCTTCTCAGTGCTGTGCTTTACCCCGCTGTGCCACCGGGGAGGGCCCCCCTTTGCTTCTCTTTCAACTCACACCTCTTCTCTCCCTTCAGGTGGATGAGATTTACCATGACGAGTCTCTGGGGGTGCATATAAACATTGCCCTGGTCCGCTTGATCATGGTTGGCTACCGACAGGTAAACCCCTCCTTTTGCGTAGGCAGGGTTTGGAGGGCAAGGGGTGTGGGCTCAGAGCTTTGAATTCTGAGCTCCCGTGTGGGAAATGAGGATTGCAATAAACATTTTGTCTCAAATCAGAGCCCTGAGGCCATGAGAATTGAGGCATGAGGGACTCAGGGGCTCCCCCTGATCTGATAAAGCAGCAATCTCATCTCTTACCAAGCGAGGTCCTTCTTGAAGAATAGAGGAAAGCAGGGCTCAGCCAGGGAGGGGCAGACACTGAGGGTGCCCAGCCTTGTTGGGGTCCTGGCGCCTGGACTCTGTGACCTCAGACCAGGGTGACAACTGCCGTTTCCTCTGGAGACTAGCATGTAGAGGAATGTTCAGAACAGCATCTGCCTGGCAGGTTAGTTGGGCGTGAGAGATGTGTGTACAGTTCTTAGCATTAGCATCTGGGTGCAGGGCTTGACACGGGAACATCTCCCAAGTGGAGGGCTGTGTACTGGGCTGTGGAGTCAGCCGATTGGCACTTTGGCACTGGCACTGCCACTGTGGGCCTCAGCTCTCTCCTCTGCAGGGGGGTTGGCGGGGGGGCCCTGGTTCCCGCTGCGGTCTGGGGCTCCGATCCACCTCTCTGGTCCGCAGTCTCTGAGCCTGATCGAGCGTGGGAACCCCTCCCGGAGCCTGGAGCAGGTGTGTCGCTGGGCACACTCTCAGCAGCGCCAGGACCCCGGCCATGCAGAGCACCATGACCATGTGGTCTTCCTCACCCGGCAGAACTTTGGGCCCTCAGGTACTGTACTTGCCGTGGCCAGGTGGGTGCAGCTGCAGAGCAGAGGCCAAGGCTCGGGACTAGGCGTCTCTGAGGCCACCCTGGCGAGGTACAGACACAGAGCACATCATCCGACAGGCAGGAGAGTCTATGCATAAACGCACGCGCACTCGGAGCCGTGTGAGCAGAAGCACATGGCCATGCAGACACAGGCGTGTAGACACGCAGACGACACACACACGGCAGGTGTGTGCACGCACAGCCATAAACAGACACAGGCACAGGAACACGCATGCGCAGACACGTATGTACTCAAACATGCCCACACACGTAACCCACGTGTATGCAGCCACATGCACCTGTGTGCATGTACATCCTACACGCGGACACCTGCAGACATGCACACAGGCCACACACATGCATAAGTGTGTATACTTGCATCCTGTGCAGCAAGTCTCAGCCCTCCAGGACAACGGAGGCCGAGAAACCTTGCCCCTGTGGCCGCTCATTATACCTCCAAGGCGTCTAGAACGAAAAAGCATTGCAGCAGTTCTGAAGGTTGTCTGGCTGCTTGACTGGCATAGAGCGTGCTCTGCCTCTCTGCTGTCCTCAGATGTCGTTCCCAGGACATGACTGGGCCTCTGGGTCAGTCCCAACAACCAGTCCCTTAGCTGTCCTTGCCCACAGTCGCTGCTTAGTAAATGCCAGCCACAGCTGTCGCTGCCTCATGCCAGCCTCTCTGCACTGCCCGCGGTCCCTCAGGCCTGCACAGCTGTGTCTGCAGTGTGGCCTGTGCCCTCTCCCCCACCTTGGGAGGGTTGTCTCCCCTCTGCTCCATGCCCGCCTCTCTGCCCCCAGCATGCACCCTGGTCCCCCTTAACTCCTTTCCCAAGTCACCCCTTCTTACCCCTCTGCACTCCTGAGTCCTGGCCTTGCAGGCCCACACCTGCTAACCTCCTAATCCCTCGCCCCCCCTGCTAGGTCACCTGCCTTTCAGTGTGTGGTGTGTGTCGGGGTGTCGGGGGTAGGGGAGTATCTGGTTGTTCTGTTTTCCCCATGGATCTAACATAGTGTCATCCCTTAGCCCCCTCATAGAAAACGTTAAGAGTTTGTTGACTGACCAACTGACATGCTAGCTGGAGGTTGGAGATGGAGTTTGTGCAGGCTTGGGTCCTACCTGCCTTGAGGAGAGGGGGAGCCAGCAGGCACAGGGAAGCCGCAGGCCGGGAGGGGGGAGGCCACAGAACCTTAGGATGAGGCGGCGTGGCCTGTTCTGCAGGCGGGACTTGGCGAGAGTCCTTTCTCGAGGGACCCTCTGGCAGTGGCCAGGCCAGCATGGTCTGGCACAGACCTCATCATGTGCTACCTCACCTGACCGTGACCTCTTTCTGCCTGTTTCCCTCTTCTCCTGGCAGGATACGCACCCGTCACCGGCATGTGTCACCCCCTGAGAAGCTGCGCCCTCAACCACGAGGATGGCTTCTCTTCAGCCTTCGTGGTGGCCCATGAGACTGGCCACGTGTAAGTGATAGCACCAGCACAGGCTGTTCCCGAGTTTCCAGGAGTTCTGTGGTGTGTGAGGTTTTGACTCAGGTCAGTCTCTGGCCTCAGAAGCACCAGAGCAGCTGCCCAAGGAGCAGCTGCTTGGTTGGGAGGGTGCCAGCAGCCTGGCAGCAAATCTGGGCCTGCCTTGGGCTCAGCCTCCACATCCCAGGCCCATGGGGACTCAGAGGTTGCTCTACCTTTGAGCAAGGTGGTGGCAGCGTCCCAGCACAGGCAGTGATGGGCCTCCTGGGTGTTTCCTGTCCACCCATCCACGCCTGCAGGCCCTTCGGAGACACAGAGGGGCTGGCCTCGTGTGGAGAAGCGCAGGTAGCAGACCAGGCCGACTGCTGGGTTGAGGATTTGTTCGTTCACTCACTCACGTTCTAGGAACAGGGTGACAACAGAGAACCAGAAATAGAAGGTCTAGAAGCTGCACACTGGGAGAAAGCGAAGGAGCCACTACCTGATGTGCCCGAGAGCATCTTAAAGCGTCGGCATTTGGCATTACATGTTAACTCTAAAGAACAGACTTTTCAAGTTCAGTTATCATATGGTAGAGGCCTCCTGGTGCAAAACTCTGTGCCAGGTGTTACTGGTCCTTGAGAACCTGAGAGGCTGACGTGCAGTGCACTAGTCAATGAGGTTGACCCCAGCCTCACACTTGCAGGCCTTGGGTCTGGGGAAGACCGCATGTGGTTAATGATACAGGCGACCGCTGTGGGGGCGGGGTGGTAGGGGGGGTATCCTGGGGCAGCCTTGGAAGCTGTAGGGGTTGGAGGAGGGTACAGGGTAACTGGGAGTAGAGAATATCAGGGAAAAATGAGTCTGGCCCCATTGGTCAGGGCTGGGGGGTGGGGTGGGGTGGGCGGTGCACCTGGGGCCTCAGCTTCCAACTAGCAGCCCTGGAGAGAGAGGTGAACCTCCCACTGCTGGTGGGGAAACTGAGGCCAGGAGGTCCAGTTTGAAGCCTGGTCAGGCGAGGTCTCCCATTGCTGGCTTGCTTGCCCATCTTCCGAGGGGCAGCCTTCCAGGGTGTGACCAGGGCCCCCCTCTGTCTTCCCCTGCGCCTTCCAGACTTGGCATGGAACATGACGGTCAAGGAAACGGCTGTGCAGACGAGACCAGCCTGGGCAGCGTCATGGCCCCCCTGGTGCAGGCCGCCTTCCACCGCTTCCACTGGTCCCGCTGCAGCAAGCTGGAGCTCAGCCGCTACCTCCCGTAGGTTACCTCCGCCCTGGGGGGGCCAAGATGGGGCAGCTCACCTGCCACTCCAAGCAGAGGTCACCCCAAGGGATCTCCCCTCCCACACCATCCCACTCCTGAAGCACACGCAGCAGTTCCAGGCTTTGCTGGGCAGACACAAGTTGGCTCAGAGCTCAAGGCTGAGCATGGGAGGGGAGAGGTCTTGGGTGGGACAGGGGCAGGCAGAAATGCCGCGCTTACCCTGTGTGGCAGCTGGCCAGGCCCAGGTGGGTCCTGCGCGGTGGGCTGACTTCTCTTCTCTCAGTGCAGTGAGGCCTGCAGTTGTCCATGTACCAGCCTGAATCCTGGCCACGTAGCATGCCCCCCACTGTGGGCCAGACCCACACTGTAAAATGACTACGAGCTGAGCTCCTGACCCCAGTCCTGGGTGCCTCTCCCTGGAGCCCTCAGACACAGTCATTGGTCTGAGTGAGGACCTGTGCAGAGGGGTTCGGGGCTGCCTGACCTCCTAGAAGACAGCCCAGCACAGGCAGCGGAGACGCCTAGGCCTTCCTTGCTCATTGAAAGTCCATCCTCCAAGGAGGGGTGGCTGGGACCTCATGGCCCTGCCTGGCTCACCTTCCTGTCTTTGCCGCAGCTCCTACGACTGCCTCCTTGATGACCCCTTTGCATCCCCCTGGCCCCGGCCCCCGGAACTGCCCGGCACTGACTACTCAATGGATGAGCAGTGCCGCTTTGACTTCGGCTCTGGGTACCACACCTGTTCGGCGGTGAGTCCCACCAGCTTCTGCCAGGGGGGCCGTGTCCTGTGATCCAGGCTGGGGTCACAGCAGCAGGGCTGGTGATGGGCTCCCGGGCTGGGGGGGGGGTGCCAGCGTGGGGGTGCCTCCTTCTGCTACACCCCCCACCCCCACTTGGTCTCTTCCGTGTACTCACCTGTGGGTACCGTGGTTGGAGAGTACTTCAGTGCCAGGAAAGATGGAACAGGGCAGAGGATGAGATCCTGGCTGCAGTGGTCTGGGAGCTGACCTGTGGGGTGGTTCATGTGTCAGAGCAGGGCTGGGTTCCAGCTGGGAGGATGGTCGTAACCACTGTTCTTCAGGGGTGTGGAGGAAGGGTTTGGGCTGGCTTCCCACCCTGGTGAAATTCTGCACACATCTCTCTCCAGGGGGTCAGCCCCCCGCCTCCCATCCCAGCCACAGGGCACAGCAGGGCATGGCCTAGACATCAGTGAGGGCCACCCAGGAACAGAGTGACAGAAAAGGGACAGCCAGGCCAGGTGCTTTCAGAAGCGGGCAGGCCTCCGTGACCCGAGTAGCTCAGCCTGTATGCCGGGGTGCTACACCCCACTCAGCTTTACAGGGCCAGAAGGCATTGAAGTGCCAGGCCATGCAGGGAGTCGTGGCCTCAGCTTTGGGGTGGGAAAAATGTGGGAGATGGCACATGGATGCTATGAGCTGTATTTGTAGCCTGCCTGTGAGGATAAGAGAGACTATCAGGAATCTGGGGTTTTCGGGGCGCTCTGAGACCAGTTCCCCTCCCTCCTCTGGCGAGGCAGGTGAGATGGGAAGGAGATGGAATCTTGACCTCGTCTGGGCCGTGGTCCGGGCTGGACCCGTGAGCCCTTCAATGCCCCCAGGTGCATGGGACTCAGCCTTCCCAGGGCCTCGGCCATAGTCCCTGCTCAGGGACAGAGTGGCGCCTGCAAAGGCCGGAAGGCTCAGGCGAGGGGGCCAGGGCAGTGTGGGCTGTGCCCGGCCCCTCCTGCTCTGTGTCCTCCTGGAGAGGAGGCCTTTTAGCAGCCACTGGCACTGGGGGTAGAGTCAAGTTGTGTGTGTGTGTCTGGCTGGCTGGGCCCCTCCTGCCTTCCTGGCAGCGTTCTGGGTCCAGCATCCACCACACCCTCCTCTTCCTCTGTCACTGCCCTTTGCCCGCTGGGCACTGTGTCAGAGCTGGGGCACCAGTGCAGCCCGTGACCCCGTTCCCCTTGCCACGCAGTTCAGGACCTTTGAGCCCTGCAAGCAGCTGTGGTGCAGCCACCCTGACAACCCCTACTTCTGCAAGACCAAGAAGGGGCCCCCGCTGGACGGCACGGAGTGTGCACCTGGCAAGGTACCTGCAGGACGGGGTCTGCAGCAGGCGTAGGCTTCCTGGGGTGTGGGTCCCAGGGTGTCCCCAGCCCCCACCAACCGCGCACATGGGGGTCGGTGCTAAAGGACGGGTGCGAACCCCATGCGCAGGTAAGTAAGTCTGCATGGCGGCCCCCCAGGAGCTTGCGCATGCGCACACTTTCTTCTCCCGCTCGCTACAGTCCTTTGCTCCTGCAGTTTGCAGAGTTGGGTCTTGCATCAGCCCACCCAGCAGGAGTGCTTATCTCCATTATACAGTGAGGAAGAGGGTGCCCCCCAACCCCCAGGGGAATCACAGAGAGTGATTAGCAGAGAAGAGAGGCAGAGAGACTCCAGGCATCCTCCCAGCGTCCTCCTTCCCACCCCACCCTACTTCCGCTTGTTAGTGGGTGTTGCCCCCTCACGCACGTGTGAACGCCAGGGCTTTGTTTCTAGGGGGACCTCGTGGCCAGGTGTGCGAGCCCTGAACTGGGGCCTGAAACCCCCCTTTGCTCTACTGCTGGTCCTTCCGTCACCTCTGGGTAGTGACCTTGGGCCGTTCACCACCATCTCTGGGCTCCGACCCCCACCCAGTATCCGCCCTCTTCAGCCTCGTTCTGAAGTTACAGAGTCAAATCGTAGTCAGTGCGGGAGCTCGCGGTGTGAACACTCAGCCCCAGCTGTAAGTCCTGACAGGACCCACACCCACCAGCCTGCCCTCTGCCCTCACCAGGCTCCTTCCCCTCACACATGCCGGTGCCCATGTTGCACAGGCCCAGGGGTGCCAAGCCCAGCGGCTATTACCCCAGGAACTGGGTCTACTACTCCAGAAACCCCAGCCCTCTCCAGGCATGATTCCGAGCCACCGTTAGCCAGGCACTCTCCGTGTTGGCCACACGTTGGAGCCATCTGGGGGAGCTTTAGAAGTCCCCACCCCCAAGGCACAGAGTGGTTGCCCATGGGCACGAGCTGTCTCCTCGGGGTGATGGAAATGTCTTGAAATTGGATTGTGGTTTTGTTGCACAATGCTGCTTATGAAAAATCGTTAAATTGCACACTTGAAATGGGTGAGTTTTATGGTCTGTAAAGTCTACCTCATTACCCCTTCTCTAAACAACCACCAACCCTAGAGATTCTGACTCAGTTGGTGTGGGGCGAAGCCAAGGCATCTGGAATTTTAAAAGTTCCCCAGGTGACTCCGAGGCTGAGAACCACTGAGTCACCCCTGGAGAAAGTGCTGCTCGCTTGTCCCCAGTAACCCTAGAGGACAAGGGAACCCACTTAAGTCTGGCCGAGTCTCCCTTTGCAGCTGACCTCGCTCAGGCCTCTGTAGGTGCTACTGCTTCCGGGCTTCCGGTTCTTAGAACAGTCCCTCTTCACAGGTGAGGTAACAGGTACAGCAAGTGGAGTGAGCCCTAAACCACACAGAGCCAGTAAAGGCCGAGCTGGGACTTGGACCCAGGCCCTGGACTCATGCATATACCCCCTCCACTGCATGGACAAACCCCCCTGTGTGGCTGGCTTGCCTCTGGGAACCCAACTGCTTGTGACCCGTAGATGGTGATTTTGAGGTACAGTGCCAAGGAAGTTCAAATGCTAGGTGGCAGGGAACCTTGTCTTCCCTCCACCGTCAGCCCTTTATTTCTCCCATGTCACAGTTGTTACTGTCACTGATAGCATCTGCCGTTTTCCAGGGCTGTGTGTGCCAGGCATTCTCGTTGGCACAGCAGCCCTGTGGGCAGATGTCCACATGGACATTTGAGGACTAGGCGTAGCCAAGAGAGCCCTTTGCTGAAAGATACATAGCTCAGGATGGGGTGGGGTTCTGTGGAGTGCCCCGGAGAGGGACACCTCCTTCATATCCCTGTCTCTGGGCTCACCCATGGTGCCACCAGCTGTGTCACTGTGCCTGCTTGGCAACTCTCTGTGGCAAGCTCAGTGGCCTAGGATGACCACACACCCTCTGATTCATCCAGTGGTGCTTCAAAGGTCACTGCATCTGGAAGTCGCTGGAGCAGACTTATGGCCAGGATGGAGGCTGGAGCTCCTGGACCAAGTTCGGGTCATGTTCACGGTCATGTGGGGGCGGGGTGCGATCCCGCAGCCGGAGCTGTGATAACCCCCTGTGAGTGCTTGGCTGGGGTGGGCAGGGCAGGGCAGGGGACCTCTCTCAGGTGTGGAGGGCTTGGAGGGGAAACACTGTGGGGCTGAGCACAAGGGAAGACCCCACAGGTTGTATATTTTAATGCAGAAGGACCCCAAATCATTAGTGGCTATTGACCCATCAGGTCTGACATCTCAGACAGGGTCTGAACCAGTGATGTGGAGGGGTCCTTGGAAAGTCCAGACTGCCCTCCTGGGACCCCCACGACCCAGTTAAACTTTGAGCAAATACTCATCTAAATGCTCAGTAGCCACATCTTAAAAGAATAAATACCACATGAAGCAAAAAGTCCTTTGATCTTTCTTCACTTGCCTCTTTCTAACATCAAACCTCCACTCCCACCCCACCACCCACATCTCAGCATTCTGGGGGAATGGCCTGTTTTCTCGTGGTGTCACCTCTGTGGGAATCCCCATCCCTCCCCGGTTCTCTCTGCCTTTGGACCTCCTGAGTGCCAGCTGCTCGTGGCTCACATTCTGTTTGGAGTGGCTGCGAGAGAGCTGGAGGCTGACCAGCGCGGGGTGTGTGGGGCAGCGCTCCAGGAACACAGCGATGGACCTCGGGGCTGGGCAGCCTGGCCCGGCCCTCCTGGCTCTGGGTGACGTGATGAGGAAATGGCAGAGTCGAGATGACAGCGGCTCTGGCACCCGCAGGCCCCGTAGGTCCTGCTGCTTATCTCCATGGCTGGGGGCCCTCGCCTCCAGGAGCGGCCTGGTCCGGAGTGAGCCAGCTGTGTTCACCTTCACCCCAGGAGCCCAAACGCACAACCCTGTGACTCCCACCTGCAGGGGGGACAGAGCCGGGCTCTGAGAGAAGCCTGGTGGTCCCCAATCTGAGGAAAGCACCTTCCAGGCTGCTGGACTTCTATACCCTCGAGTGCCCAGTGATTGAACTCCTCTGTAATAATAACTGTTTTTATTTTATGCAGCTTAAGTGAAATAATGTGTGTGCTTTCAGCACCATGTCCAGCACAGATTAAGCACTTAATAGAGGACAGCTGCTTATAATAAATGACACCGTTTTTAATAACAACAGCATATCGAGTGCTTTCTCTGTGCCAGATGGGTTGGTAAGCACTTAGGTGCATAAGCCCTGTCATTCTCCCAGCGCCTCTGGACAGAGGGCTGTAACCTCGTGCACTTGACACTCTGTGCTAATAATCATACCTCATCCTCTTCAGTTAACGGAGAAGAGGGTAGAGATTGCTTTAAAATGGCATTTCTTATTTAGCCTTCAGGGACATGGTGAGAGGTGGGTATAAAATGGGAGGCATTATGGTGCCTCCTTTAAAGGGGAAACAGAGGCACAGCAAGACTAAGCACCTGGCCCAAAGCCACACGGTCAGGACCTGGGAGCCAGACCCGAGTCCACATCCAAATGTCTTACTGCCCCCTCGTTGATGATATTAAGTGGAATAAATGAATAACTTGCTTGTGTGCCTATTGTATGCCAGGCCTTGTGTTAGGGGTGAAACAATATGAAAAGATGACTGAAACTGAGTTTTCTTCCAGCCCCATTGGAGAGGGCTGTGGTTCCTGCCTCCCCTGCCCCACCCCAACCCTTCTGTGCCCGCCTTCCCTTTCCCTTTCTACTCTTCTCTCTCCCTCCTCTCTCCCTCACTCGCTTCTGTTTCCTCCAATAGACACACACACTCATACACAAACACATATGCTTGGGTCAAGGACCAGGAGGCCCCTGAACTCAGCAGCCCCCACAGTGGGGTCACTCTAGTTTATGGGTTAGTGCAGCCCCTCTTTAGGGTGCTCTAAAAATGTAACTGTCCTGTGGCATTGCGGGGTGCCTGATCCCTGCCAGCAAGGTGACTGGCCACTCTGTGTCCGCCACAGCCCAGCCTACGGAGGCCGCCTGTGCCCAGGACCCATGTTCCAGTATCAGATCTGCAACAGCGAGGAGTGTCCAGGGCCCTACGAGGACTTCCGGGCCCAGCAATGTGCCAAGCGCAACTCCTACTATCTACACCAGAACGCCAAGCACAGCTGGGTCCCCCACGAGCCTGTGGATGGTGAGTGCACGCTGCCCCCACACCTGTGTGTCCTCAGGCATTTACTGGGTCCACATTCTCACGGATGCCACTCCTGGGCCCACCGGTGAAGGTGGGTGGACAGTCCGTAGGCCACGTCACCCATGTGAAGGCCGTCAAAAGAGCTGGCCATTGGGTTGGTGTCTTGCCGACTTGTGATTACTAGTACAGGAAGGCCCCTATCAATGCAGGCACCCTCGCTCTGCACCACTGCCGTCCTGAGAAGCTTGGTGCTGCTCTAGGCCATGCTTTTAGGCTCTACCCAGCCAGTGCCAGTCTCTTTTCCAGAGCATTTCTGTGACGGCTGTCATAGCAGCAGAGAGAAGCCAGCAAAGGGCTCAGATTCATGGCATGTTAGAGTCTTCAGGCTGGAAGGACCTTTCACAGTCCACTGAGCCCCCACCCCAGCCAGCCTCTCAGTGGTCCTTCCACAGACCCATGCTCATCCCCATGCTCTGACAGCCGGGCCGATAGAAAAGGCTTTCCACTCCTGACCCAGGCCGTTTCTTTGTGGTCCTAGTCCCAGGATGTCCAAGGAGGGACCCTCAGCTTTTCCTCTTTAGAGTGACAATCAGCAAGTCAGAGGCACTTCAGAGGTGTAGTAGCCATTCCTGCCAGTGTTCAGACTTCTCTAGAACATCCTTACAGGAGTGTCTACCTTCTGGCTGGATCCCTCCCACTCTGGGGAGCTTACCACTTCCTGGCCACTGTCTCTGGTTCAGTGACTACCCAGAGACCTGCTGTCTGGAGCAAACGGCAGGGCCCTGCCTCTCTCCAGTGGACACCCCTGACCCCTACCATGGATCCCACCAGGACCCGGGCTCCTGGGCATGAAGCCCAAGTGGTGCAGAAAATTGTGGCTCCAGACCCGGGTCCTGAGTGCTAGGGCAAGTCAGAGCCCACAGACCAGGAGCAGGGAGCTTTGAAAGTCTTGCACATCCATTCAGAACCTAAACAAGCCACCTCAGCATGGGGTGCGAGCTGGTGGAGGAGACTGCTTTGGGGCTTTCCCAGGACTTTTAGACAAATTCCAGGAAGTCAGCTAAGCCCCAGCCTTCCTTTTTCTAAGAAATGCAGAAGTGTTTATAATATTTTCTGGAACCTCCTTTTTAGGACATCAATAGCCCAGAGAGAAGGGAACGCTTAATTGTTAGAACAAGAAAGGCTCCCTGGCTGCTGTTCTGTTTTACAAACCCAAACAGGCCCCTGTTCTGTTTGCTTTTCACACAGCCTTCCTTCCGACATTGACGTATTTGTTAAGATTCACCACCATATGTGTGTCTGGTAAAGTGTAGGGGTCACAGCGGGACTCAAGTCAGACTGCCCACTCTTCCGGGTGCTATTACCTTGAGCAAGTTGTTAACTTCTCTGGTCTTTGGTTTCTTCCTTGACAATGGTAGGACCTCCTTCCTTGGGGCTATTGCAAGGTTTAAGAGTTAACTCATGAAAGGCCTTTCCATTTTTCTCCTGTATATCCACAGTGGGTAAAGGTGTCTCAGATGAAGGGTTGGCTTATTGTTGTGATGATTATTTTACCACTTGCCATCAATGTAGCATCTTACTGGTCAGGGATAGTAAATAAGGAGCTGAAGCTTGGAGAAGTCAGATTATTCTCCCAAGGTCACGTGGATAATAAATGACACAGCAGTGGGTGTAAGCCTCAGGCGGTACCTGGTGCTCCACCCACTTCCCAGAGCTCCCTGCTTGGGCCAGGCAGATGCCATCCTGGCCCAGCCCACTTCCTCTGGGCGCTGCAGGGGCTTAGAATGGCCCTTCTCCCCACAGATGCCCAGAAGTGTGAGCTGATCTGCCAGTCAGAGGACACGGGGGACATAGTCTTCATGAACCAGGTGGTCCATGACGGGACACGCTGCAGCTACCGGGACCCCTACAGCGTCTGTGCCCGTGGGGAGTGTGTGGTGAGTGGCCCCAAGGGGCTGCCCCCTGCAGCCCCAGGACAATGGAGGGCTGCCTTGCCTGCCCCTCCTGCTGCTCCCTTCAAAACAGGTGTCCACTCCTCCTCCCTCCCCGTGATGCCCCTTTGGTCCTCAGCCTAACGCCGGGATGCTGGAAAGGGCTTAATGCTAGTGCTATTTGTGGGGAGAAGACTGGGCCGGGTTCAAGAGACAAACTCTCTTGGGAGTTTGTGGCAGTGCCCCAGCCAGTATGCTTCTTGGTTTAGGGTACCTCATCTCTGGGACCTAGGGACCAGGGAGGGAGCCAAGGGACACCCAGGGTGGTGGGGAGCCTGGGAGCTGCCTCCTGCTGACCTCACCTCTGGCCTTAGCCTGTCGGCTGTGACAAGGAGGTAGGATCCATGAAGGCCGATGATAAATGCGGGGTCTGTGGCGGCGACAACTCCCACTGCAGGACTGTGAAGGGGACGCTGGGCAAGGCCTCCAAGCAGGCAGGTGAGCGGCAAGGCTGGGGGGCACCAGGAGCAGCTGGGGTTCTGGCTCAGCCAGAGTTCCTAGCACCCCCAGATGGCCCACTCCTTCCTGGAGCCAGGCCACAGTTGGGGTGGTGGAAAAGCCTATCTGCACACTTCCTAGGTTGCCATTTGCTCATCTTACCTTTGAGGTGCACAATTGCTGAAGTCTGGTCCTGGGACTCAAAAACTCCAGGCGTATGCTGTGATGGGAGTTCAGTCATCTTTTTGGCTCTGGGCTGTTGGGGCGTGAAAGGCCCAATTACTAGATGGAATTTTCTTTTCCTCTCTTCCTCTTTCACTTATTATTATTTTTTAAATCTGTGGTGCTTCCTGCTTTGCGCTCTTGATATCTTTGAGCTCCTGGTTTCTTCCCCTATCGAGGCTGGCTAAGCCCACTGTTGAATAGGGTGAGATATTAGTCCTTTACACTTTAGTAATAGTTAGACCCACTTCTTTGATGATGATATAACTTTGCCTTCCTTTTCCATATAGGAGGAAGGTTATGGTTCTGAGGGAGCATTGTTCCTCTGCCTTAGATTGTGAGGGCCATGGAGACTCAGGTAGCTATACTGAATCTTCATAGCCTATCTCATCTAAATCTCTACATTAGCTTATGATGTAAGGAGAAAGGAGGAAAAAACCAGGAGAGAGGAAGAGGATAAAGAAGGTAGGAAATAATAACACACACACACACACGCACACGCACACACACACACAGCTTTAGCTCATGGGGACTTTGAGCGAGTGTATCTCACTTGATCTTATCAGTAGTGCCTTCTAGACAAGAGCCCACCCTGATTTTATAGATAAGGAAACTGAGATTCCTGGATACCTCTGGGGTGACGGGGGATGCTGGATGTGGGCCTGCCAGCTAGAATGCTCACTCCTTTTCTGGATACTCCTCTGTGACAGGAGCTCTCAAACTGGTACAGATCCCTGCAGGTGCCAGGCACATTCAGATGGAGTTGCTGGAGAAGTCCCCCCACCGCATTGGTGAGTACTGGGTACTGGAAAAGGGACCAGTCTTAGGTTTGCGTGACTGGTTCTAAAACGGCGGGGGTGGGGGGGATAGGGGGCGTGGGGGGTTCCCAACTTCGAAAAGATGTCAGAGAACCAGTATTTATTTTATTTTTCTGTGGGTCACCAGTTTGGGGTACACTCAGCCAGGTGTTTTCTCCATTTGTCTGCCTGAGCTCACTCATGCAAAAGCAGTTTGCTGGTGTCTCTTGAGATCTGGTTGGTTCTGCTGTCGGCTGGGGTCACAGGGCCACAGGGCCACAGAGCCACAGAGCCACAGAGCCATAGGTCCATGTCCCCAGCAGGCAGCCCAGGATTATTTACCTGGTGTCTGTCACATGGTCCCCAGTCCCCAGGCGAGAGAGGAGTTGCAAGCACATTTCAAGCCTCACCTCTCATCTTGCTTCCAGTAGGCTGAGTGTATCTCCTGGCCAAGCCCAGTGGCACGGGGTAGAAACACACTATCTCTTGATGTGAAAAGTGGTGAAATCACATTACCAAGGAGGCATGTGGGTCATTGTTATGTGCATGACACAAGGGTCTGCTGCATGGACTCAAGTTATTGTCCTTAGAATAATCCCTAAACGCAGGCCTTCCCTGGTGGCGCAGCGGGTTAAAGCACAGCACTATGAAGCTGTCCACTGCAGCCCAAGTTTGATCCCCGCTCAGGGAGCTGACCCACCTGGCACATCAGACCCCTCTTGTCTCACCGCTGCTCCCCTCAGCAGTGTATTTCAGTAGAACCGCCTGTTCTGCTCGCCTCTCTGCCTCTGGTGAATCCTCTCACTGCCCCTGCACCTCTGGCCTGTACCCCAGTTCTTACATACATGCATGATTAAATCTTCAAAAAAAAAAAAAAGAATACTACCTAGATGCATAGTTCCTAGACTAGATGCCTGCCCCCATACTTACCACAGCTTATAGCGGTTAAGCCAGGACAGGAGAAAAGTTAGCACCATCCTCCCCCCCCCCCAAACTATCTGTGTTTCTACAGTATTCACAGCAGCATTATTTCCAACAGCTAGGACATGGAAGCAGCCTACATGTCTGTCGGCAAACATTTGGATTGAGTTGATGTGGAGTATTATTCAGCTATAAAGAATGCTGAAAGGCAGCCAAATGCTGCATTAGCAAAAGGGAGGGAGTTTGAGAAAATTATGTGTAGAAAAACAAGTCAGATAAATAAAAACAAACACCTTACACAGCAGATGATTTGATATAGTAACATACTTACAAAAATGAATGGACATTAATAAACACCGTGGGGCTCTTAGGTTAAGAGAGAAGAGGAAGGAAAGGTTCAAGGTCACGCAAGGGATGAGAGGGAGAAAATGTTCATTCTTGAGTGATCGGGTTCTACCGCAATTTTTGGCGTAACTGGTTATAAATAAGTTTTGGTTTACATGACATGACAAAATAAAGTTAGTGCCCCCAAATAAGTCAATACAATTCAAATTAAGAACATATGTCATGGCAGAGATTTTTGGTTTGCTTGCTTTGTTCTGGTTTTGTGGAAACTAAACCAGTCAATAAATAAACGTCTCCAGAATAGGCAAATCCATAGAGACAGAGAGGAGATTACTGGTTGTCAAAGAAGTGATGGATGGCGGGGTTGGGTGACAGGGAATGGGGCACTGATTGTTAGTGGGCCTCGGATTTCTTGGAGGGGTGATCCAAATGTCATGGAATCAGGTAATGGCAGTGATTGTGCGCCCTGGTGAATATACGACAATTTCACGCTTGCAAGACTGACTTGTGAATTATATCTCAATTTAAGAACCTAAGTATGGTTCAGAAGCAGACGGGGCAGGCTGCTGCCCCCCTGTTGGGCAGGGGCTGCTTCTCCCCCACTCTTCAGCCCCCTTATGGAAGGGCGGCAGGCCTCCCCTGACTCAGTGCCTCCTGTGAGCCAGGCCTTCTGCATAGGTCTTCACGCCTGTAAGTGTCCTGAGTCCCACAGTGGGCTAGGAGAGGGGCAACATCCATCTTCATGGGAGAGCAGCCCTGTGAGGTGGGCACAACTACCATTCCCATTTTGCAGATGGGGAAACTGAGGCACATAGGGAGGCTATGTAACGTCCCCACAATCCATCTGATTCTGCAGCCTGTACTGTTATCCTCTGTGCCTTGCTATAGAAAGTCAAGAGGGTGGGTAATCCCTGAGGACTGAGCAATGAAAGCTTTCATGGAGGAGGGAGAATTGTACTGAACCTGAATGCTGGGTGGCTATTAGCCAGGAGGGGAGACAGGGCGGGGGGAATAGTGCTCACTAGGACCCAGAGGCAGAATGGGGGGGGGGGGCAGTGTGCTGACCTGTCTAATGGGAAGGGCTCAGCTGGGAAGCAGTGACCTCAGGCAGAGGGTCCCCAGGGGCCTCCTGGGAAGGCCTTGAAGCCCCAAGCAGTCTGACAGGTGCTCCTGTGAAGGGAAACAGAACTCCGTGTGCCTTCTCCCCTGCCAGCGGTGAAGAACCAGGTCACAGGCAGCTTCATCCTCAACCCCAAAGGCAAGGGAACCACGAGCCGGACCTTCACCTCGATGGGCCTGGAGTGGGAGTACTCGGTGCAGGACGCCAAGGAGAACCTCAAGACCAGCGGGCCGCTGCCCGAAGCCATCGCCGTCCTGGTGAGCCGCACTCTGCGGCTGCCCCTACCTACCCCCTTGCTGCGCCAGCCTGTCCTCCTAATTCACTGCCTGCTCCCGGCTTTTTATTAGGGACCTGAGTAAGGTCAAGGTAGCTCTGTGCTCAGACGCAGGCAAGTGAAAAGAGGAAAATAAATGGTGTTTCCCTATAGACCAGAGATACCGCATAGCCTGTTCTCCTTAATGGAGGATCAGAAATGGGGCTGGGAGAAGTGGCACGAATCTGGGCTGGCTCCCGGCGGTTCCTGGCATCAGCGGCATTGTGGCATTACCAGCAAATAAGTCCAGGACTGCTTGCCTGTGACTCTCAGGGCAGCTGACTCAGGGGTGCCATCTGGTTCTGCTAGTCCTGATGACCACTGCCTTGCTGGGTCCCACCTGCGCCCACACCTTCCTCTTCCTACACATAGGCCAGGAGCAATGACTGTTAACCTGAAAGACCAGACCAGGAAAGGCCGGGCTGTAGTGCTCTCCGCACTGGCCTGTGAGGGGTCTGGGGGGCCTGGTAATGCCCTTGCCACTGGGGAGCCCTGATGACAGGATCTGAGGCCTACTGTTGGCATATGAATTTGATCCAATGCATATTTTCTATTTCTCCCTATATGTATCAGCCACCCATGCATCCATTGATTTTCAATGAGAGTTCCAAGTTCATTCAGTGGGAGTGAAAATAGTCTCTGAGATGAATAATGCTGGGGTAACGGGCTAGCTACGCGTAAATGAACGAAGCTGACCCCTGCTCACAGCACATACAAGTTAACTCGAATCAGCTCAGCTGCTGGTCTGAAGGGTCTCCTGGGCCACACTCTGTGCTCTGCTCCTCCTGGCTCCCAGAAGCTCTGCTCTGGCCTGTATCTTTTCCTTCCATCTCCCCCATGCCCCCCACCCCCCACCACCCCCTGCTTCCTTGTTTCTCTTCTCTCCAGTCCTCTGCCAGCTCCTCCATCTCCCCTCAGGTGCTCCCTCCGACTGAGGGTGGCCCCCGCAGCAGCCTGGCCTACAAGTATGTCATCCACGAGGACCTGCTGCCTCTTATAGGGAGCAACAACGTGCTCCTGGAGGAGACAGACACCTATGAGTGGGCACTCAAGAGCTGGGCGCCCTGCACCAAGGCCTGTGGAGGAGGTACCCACTGCCCAGCCAGCGGTCCCTGCCACCCAGCTGCCTGCGGGGGTTGGGGGTGGGGGGCTCTCAAAGCAGGAGTGGCTGGGGGGCAAATGTCTCCACTTAACTCCAGCTTCTCTTTGAAACTCGGGTTCAGAAGCCCATCTGGGTAGGGCCTTTGGGATGAGGGTGGACAGGCTCCCTCGCTGTGTGGAGAGGGAGCAGTCAGGCCCTGTATGCACTTGCACTACTCCAGAGCCCTGTTGGATGGACTGGTCACGGAAACAATGGCTTGGGCAGGAGGGCGGGGGGGCGCAAGGGTACTGGGAGATGGGGTTACCCTCTAGGGTCTCCAGAGTTTACTCTCCGGGGGGCCCCAGGCTGGGCGGCAGCAGGACCCCGTACAGACTGCCCTCTCCACAGGTATCCAGTTCACCAAATATGGCTGCCGGCGCCGCCGAGACCATCACATGGTGCAGCGGCACCTGTGTGACCACAGGAAGAGGCCCAAGCCCATCCGCAGGCGCTGCAACCAGCACCCGTGCCCCCAGCCTGCGTGAGTGCCCTCCGGGAGGGCCGGGAGCCCGGTCCCATGCCCCAGGAGTCACAGACCCTCTCTCAGTCCTGGTCCAGGTGGGGTGCACCTGCCTCGCCCAGGCGCTGGCCACTGCAGGCAGGAACCCCAGGAGGAAGATGCTTCCGTGGTTATGCCCCTCCTTGCGTTCTTTTTTTTTAGAGATTTATTTATTTATTTATTTATTTATTTATTTATTTATTTATTTATTTATTTATTTATTTATTTATTCATTCATTCATTCATTCATTCATTCATTTATTCATTTATTTATTTATTTATTTTCACTTTAATAAGAATTTCTATTGCAAGCGCTCTTCCTCTTTGTTTTTCTACCACTTGGGCAGCTCATCCTCGGTTAAATGTCTAACATACTGATTGTCAGATACAAACTAAATTAAAAAAAAAAAGGTGGGGTATATTGCACACAGTTTACAGTATTGGTAGAGGAAATAAACATTCTATTTTTTTTTTTCTGCATTAAACATTTTAAATGAACGTTAGGAAGAGAGATTTATTTATTTATGTTTACAGAACTGGGGTACAAGTCAGAGGTGCAGGGGCAGTGAGAGGATTCACCAGAGACAGAGTGGGGAGCAGAACAGGCCAGCTGATCAAGTACACTGCTGAGGGCAGCAGCGGGCGGGTCAGGAGAGGTCTGCCGCGCCATGTGGGTCTCCTCCGGGGCAGGTGGGAATCGAACTTGCAGTGAGGCGGCTGCGGCCAGCTTGCAGTGCTGCGTCCTAACCCATTGCGCCACCAGGGAGGGCCCCTCTCCCTGCATTCTTTCACAGATGAGGAAACAAAGACCCAACTTGGGCATGCCACTCCCCCCAATGTTTGAGGGATGGGGGGGCCCCATGAAGATGAATTTCAGTGCTTGAAGCTCCTAGCCCCAGGGCAGGACACTGTGCCCAGCTCCTCTCAGCCCATCCCTCTGGGGCCCGGGGCCGCAGCCTGGTCTAGGGGGCTCCAGCCCTGACAAGGCCCTGACTGGGGTTCCCTGGCAGGAGGATACAGGCTCTTCTGAGAAGAAAGCCATGTTCTCAGGGTGATTTATAGGGGCTTCGAGGGACGCGTGAGTGGTGATTTGTGGAGGTTCTAGGTCAGGCTTCTGCGTCTGTCAGAGCCGGCTCCCAGCCCTCCCCAGCCCCACCAGGCTTTTATCACCCTCTGGCAGGGCCCATAGGAAACTATAGAGAGTCAAGTTCATCTTCCACCTCCACGGGTGCCCTCCCTGGAGCAGCTGACCATCAGCAGCTCCTGTCCCCTCAGTCTGGGGGACCCCCAAGGCTAGTTGTGTGACCGGGATCAGAGTGGGAGCTGGTGACCACCTCAGGCTCTGTGCTTGGCCATGATCCCCAACCTACACAGTCATTTCTTCCACATATCTGTGATCCTGGAGTATGGGGGTGGAGGGGGTGAGGGGGGGCCCACACTGCCTGGGAGTCCAGGCAGATTACTTCAGCTTGTAAAATTGCCGAATGATCTTTGAAGGCTTTTGGTTTTGTCTCATAAAGAAAGGGATTGGCTGCAGAAGCCCTGACTTACTAAAAGATGCCTCAGGAAACTGAGAAGGGAGTGGGGGATGGGCTGCCTTCCCCACCCCACTCGAAAGTTTTTCTCTGTCGAATTCATCCAGTGGGGATCTGCTGAAGATGCTGCTGGGAGTTGCTCTGTGGCTTAGACACTTGAAGACTCTCGGCTGATAGTGCTGCATAGTGCTGGCGTGGTGGAGACAGTCCTAATACCTGCATGTATTACATCTCTGCTCAAGCCAAGTGCTCTATGCACTCACATGCTTTAGTTGTGTTCACTGATAATGACGTCTGGATGACAGTTAGACAGAGTTTACTAGGTCATCAGTGAGGCTTCCCTCGGGAAGCAGTCCAGCAGAGTTACTCCCTGAGAGCTGTTCCAATAAATACAAATGTGAATTTAGTTTATGTAGGTAGGAGTAGTGAGTCATTGACATTAAAAATGTAATTATTCTTGATAGGCAGGACTTCTAATTCTAAGTTGTCTTGACCTAAAGATAGGTTGATACTAGAGGAAGACCATGCAGGATTTAATTTCTTCTTTTCTAAAGAATTACTATGCAAAGGCCGGGTGCCCATTGTTAAATCTTTTGGCTCTTTGGCCACGAACACTGGCTTGACCTGCAGGTATCAGATTTTGTGTAACTGTTTCAGATCTAAGTCTCAACAGATGGTTTGGCTCTCCAGGCCAGAAAATTGTAGAATACGTTTGTAATTGTCCCAAGATCCCAGGGGAGAGTTCTAATAAGCAGTTTGTGGTTTTTGTCTGTTCTGTGCACTGCTGTATCTCAGTACCTAGGATAGTGCCCGCACACAGTAGACACAAATATGGAGGCGATGTCTAAGGAATCCTGATGAAAGGTGGGGTAGCTGCGGCTTAAAGTGGTCAGTGGCTTGCTCAAGGACATGCAAGGTAGTAAGATTTAAACATGCACGGGCCCACTCTTTGGATAGGGAGACAGAGGAGAGAGCAGTGACTTCCTTGAGGTCACACACGTTGGCAGCTGCAGAGCCAGGTTCTCTGGTCCCCAAACATCCTGAAGCCACAACCCACTCTGGTCCTGCCTGCTGCGGTTCAGGGGATGGCAATGACCGGAAGTCTTCCCGGGTTCCCACCCACCCTCCACTTCCCACCCCCTCTGTTTCCAGGTGGGTGATAGAAGAGTGGAGCGCTTGCAGTCGGAGCTGTGGCAAGCTGGGGGTGCAGACTCGGGGGGTGCAATGCCGGCTGCCCCTCTCGAATGGTACCCATAAGGCCATGCCGGCCAAGACCTGCCCCGGAGACCGACCAGAGGCCCGGAGGCCCTGCCTTAGAGTGCCCTGTCCAGCCCAGTGGCGGACAGGAGCCTGGTCCAAGGTGAGTTATCTGAAGGGTATGGAAGGGGCTGTGCCAACTGGACACCCCTTCTCTGGGGGACTGGGTGCAGGAAGTTCTGTGAGATCTGGTGTAACCTACAGGCAGAATCTTCCTGGCTGAATTTTTCTTTTTATATCTGATCTGATTTTTCTCAAAACTCTCCAAATAGGTGTTATACAGCCTGGCTGTAGGCCAGGCCTGTACACCCATTGTTCCCTGTCTTCTAATCCTCATGCCATGCTAGGGGGCATGGGCTAATATCCTTGAGTTACAGATAAGCAAATTAAGACACATTCTTGCACTTAAGAAGCATTTACTGAGCACCAATTACCTGCCCAGAACTCTGTACTAAGAATGCCAGGAATCCACATCTACCAAACAGACCTGACTTGTGCTCTGTGGAGCTTAGAGTCCAGCAAGGGAGACATAAGAGACACCTAAAGGACAAGCGAGCCAATAATAAACCATTTCAGATTGTAGTTGGTGGGACATCAATACTACTGTGAACTTGAGTCTGGGGTGGTCAAGGAGGGCTTCCCTGAGGAGGTGACATTTGAGTTGGGACCAGAGCGCTGAGCCATAGGATGATCCTGCCCCATAATCCAGGCCCCGAGGCCCTTAGGTTATGTGGGGTGGTGGATTGCAACAGGGGAGTTTTATGATACACAAAAATCTTGGGGACCCAGGCATGCTTGAGATACAGTGGAGGCAGGTGGTAATGCTGGAATGGGGTGCTGGGGGACTCCGTCCAAGCCAGAGTGAACCATGCAGGTCGTGGAAAGTGCATGGAGTTCTAAGCTCGGCGTGGTGGCTATTCACTATGTGGCATAGGAGTGTCAGCCAGCTGGACGCTATTGTAGGCTGCTGAGAAGCAGTGACTACATGTCCCTCAGGTCATGGAGGTGTGGCAGTTTCCTCTGTACCCTTTCTCCCCTGGCCATTGACTGGTCTTTGTCCCTTCCTCTGTCTCTCCACCTCTGTGACCAATGGGCCTGGCCTGGCCCGCCCACGGCAGTGTTCGGCCACCTGTGGAGAAGGCATCCAGAAGCGGCAGGTGGTGTGCCGGAACGCGGCCAGTCTCGGGCAGTGTGAGGGGGACAAGCCGGTCTCGGTCCAGGTCTGCAGCCTGCCCGCCTGTGGAGGTGAGCCAGATAGGAACGGGGAGCCCCTCTGGCCTAGCCCTGAGGCCAGCCCCACTTACACCTGGGCCCCTAGAAATCCCAAATACTTGAGCTGCTTTTTCCCACCCATAGGAAATCTTCAGAATGCCACCGTGAAGGCTGACATATGGGAACTGGTGACCCCAGAGGGGCAAGAGATGTCGAAATCTGGGTCCCCACATCCCATTCACAAGATACCATCAAGTAAGTGTGTCTCTGGGTCCCACCACCTCCCCAACCTTTTGGTGGGGATGGCCTCACAGCAAGGGCCATGCAGTGGAGCAGACCAGCTTCCGGTCTGACCTGAGATCCTGGCCTCCTGGGACCTCAGATTCCTCAGGGGTGTGTGTGTGTGTGTGGTGGTGGCGGGGGAGGGGAGGCTGGATAGTGTTCATTCCTTCTGTGTGTCTCCAAAATGCAGAAAGCTTCAAATTTCCCCAAGTTTGATGCAAGCTCATTTGGCAGCGAAATCTGAACTAACAGTTTCTTTCACAGAAACGTTGCTATGTGTAGTTGCAAAGTGAAGTCCCTATTTCTACTGGGATGTCAGATCACCATGTGAATACATGGGTATGCATATGTTAACTGTTCTAGCCCAGAAGTTCTGGATTCTGAATCATACCTAGTTCTAAGATTTGTGGGCAAGCAATTGTAGACCCGAATTACTTTCACAGGGCTGTTGAGAGAATCAAATGAGACAAGGCTTTCTGCCAAGCTGTCAACTAGCAGGAAAAATAATAATTGTTCTCTGCCTCACAATCAGGAGCCTGCCCGTCTGTCCGTCCATCCGTCCACCCATCCATCTACTCACTCTCCCTCCCAGCCACTCATCTATCCAACTCATCCACTTGTCTATCCGTCCATCTACCCACCCACCTATCAATCCGTTCATCTATCCATCCATCCTCCCATCCATCTATCCTGTTTTTTCTCCTTCCCTCCTTCCTTTTCCTTCCATTAAAAAATACTGGCTGAGCACCTGCGGTGTACTAGGCTTTATGCTCTGTGCCTCCTTCCTTGATTCCTTCTCTTTTCCTTCCTCATCTTCTGAAGGACCAGTGTCTGATGAGTAGCAGAAAAATCACGTGACCGTTGCAAATCCCTGAACTCTGAGCTCAGCAAACTCATCTGTAAAATAAAGGGGTGCAACTCATCTGTGAAATAAAGGGGTGCGACTAAGTATCCTCAAAGGCCCTCCTGGCCCCTGCTGCTGCTCCCTCTGGTGCAGCAGCTCAGGCTGTGCAAGTCTCTGGTTTCCTTCCTGTTTCCTCCCCAGAGCACAGGGTAGGACTGTTGCTGGTTCTAGGTTTCTGGCACCATCTAGAGGCCAGTGGCTTCCAGTTTTTCTGAGCTTTCTCCTATTCCCTCCTCGATCCTCCCTTCCCTCTCACCTCATTCCGGCTCATTCCCTTACTGTTGTGCACACAGAAATTAGTAAAAAGCAAAGCTTCTGCCTGCACATTGCCTGGAGAGGCTTCCTGGGAGTTATCACAAGACACAAGAGCATTTTAGATTATATTTTAACTAAAGCAAACAAACTACTATAGTGAGCACCACTCTGTGCCAGGAACTTCATAAATGTGCTTCATAATGACAATGTTATTCTTCATTGGTAAGTATCAGGGTAACCCCCACTTTAGGGAAGAAAGAGAGTGGGAAAGTTTAAGTGGCTTGTCTATGGCCTTGTGGCTTTGAAGTGATAAGAGTCCCACTGTATTCGGATTTGCCTGAATCCCCAGGCCTTGCCCAGGGCTTCCTCATGTAAGTCAGCTGAGTGCTGACTCGAGACATCTGCTGGCTCAGATATGAGTTCCTGGGCATTTGCTGGCTCTGGCTGGAGTGGATCAAACTCCTTTGCGTAGAGTGGAGGGAGTAAGGGCTCCCGCTTCTATCTGGCAGGGTTCCCACCTAGCTGCAGGCAAGCCTACTTCTCCACCAAGCTACTCCTGGCTTGTCCAATCTCTCTGGATGTAGGAGGAAGGCAAAAGCGTTTGGAAGCTCCCGGGTCATTCCAGTTTGCAGCCAAGTCTGAGGACTAGTGTAGGGCTGTGGCGCTTCTATCTTCCCCTGTCTTGGAATCACCTTGAAGGTTTTATTAGAGCACATGAGCACAACCAGCCCTGGCGTCCCCGTCTCTAGCATTTCTGACTCAGTGTGTGGAGCCTGTGAATTGGCATTTCCAAACAAGCTTCCAGGTGATCCCTACTTGGAGATCCACAGCTCTAAGGGATCCTCTTCATCAAAATCACAAGGACTCTTACTGGGGCTGGTTCTCCTGCCAGGCAGCCTGTTGTCCCTGCAATAAAGCCCCTGGCAGGAGAGAGCAGGCCTGTAGCTAGTGGGCTGAGTGGGAGGTGGGAGCCCATGTCCCTTGCTGATGGGCTTCTTCTAGCATCGGTCCTTATGTCGTGTGTGCAGCTGAGCCCTGCGTGGGGGACAGGTCTCTCGTCTGCCAGATGGACGCGCTCGACCGTTACTGCTCCATCCCCGGCTACCACCGGCTGTGCTGTGAGTCTTGTACCAAGAAGGCCTTGGGCCTGGGGGTGAGCCCGGACCCCGGACTGTCCTCACTGCCAACCTTATCCACTCCTGGGAGCCCCATGCCAGGACCTACAGCCCCTCCAGATACTGTGGAGTCCTCTGGGAGCCCAGGGGGATCAGACAGCCGTCAGCATCGCAGACCCACACAGCTCCCAGAGCCTCTGGATACAAGCACCCCAGTGACTCAGTACCCCTTCACTCCCCAGAAACAGAGCCCTAGAGCATCCTGGGGCACTTCCCCTAGCACCTCTGGGGGACGACCTTGGGGTTGGAGCAGAGCACCTCTGCCAGCCTCTGAGAATAAGGAGCAGCTCAGAGAAGAACCAGAGCACCCAGGCACCCACATGCCTGCCACCTCCCCAGTCACATGAGCCCCCACGCCTAGTCCACCAGTTATGTTTACACTCTGCCGCCCCAGGGATCCCCGACTCAGAGGACACACAGCGGGGCAGGGGCAAGCACAGACTTCCTTTTAAATTATTTGCCTAATTGGTGTTCTAGTTTGGGGCCGTGAAACTTTGTACCCGATAAAGTGGGTGTTAAGAAAGAAAAAGATCAGGGAAAGCCCTAACTAACCGGAGATACCTCAGCGAGCAGCCCAGGAATTGAAGCTCCCAGAGACCCCTGTTTGTCTCCTTCCAGGAGAGGACCAGAGAATGCCCCTCTTCATAGCCACTGAGCCCTGGGCAGCGCTAAAGCCCCACACTGGACCCAATATAACTGCCTGCCTTGGCCAGAACTTGTGAGGACCCCTGTGGAGGCCGCATCTGTTGGGCCCTTGGGAGCACCCACAGGGCATTCTGAGAGGAAGGAGGCTGAGAGAGAATGTGGCTGTGAGGGTCTGACTGCAGGGCCGGGGGTGGGGGGTGCAGGAGGCAGGTTCATCCCCACTCTTCACAGAGACAGTTCCACGAAGTTCCTTCACACAAAGCCAAGGAGCAGAGTCCAGCTCGCCTCTGCTGGCAGGGGGCTGTGTCTGGGGTCTCCTCTGCCCCCACCAGGTGGCACTTTCTGTTATTTCTGGTGCCTCTGGGTCACAAGCGGGCCCCCCAATCTCACTCTAGCCCGCCAGACATGGGACTCATGACGCTCCGGAGTGTGTGGTGTCCTCTATCTGGGACTCCCCAGGACCAGGACTAGACTAGACTCCTGGCAGGACCAGGAAGGGCGACTCATCATTGCAGGGCATGATGGGAGTCCAGGAGTCCAGCCTGGAAGGGGATGGTGGGACACAGGTGATTTGAGTTGGCTTTGCCTTTTCCATCACTACCCTTCCACAAAGTCCATTCCTGCTGGAGTCGGGGGTCATCTTCGTCCACCTGGCTCAAGCTGGGCCAGAGGTCTGTCATGCTTGGATGGTAGGATGGGGGTGGGAGAATTCTGGCCTCACAGCTGAGGACCAGAGTCCATTTGTAGCCGGCCCTGTACATAACAAGGGCAAGTGACCCACGGCAGGGTGTGAGACTCCTACCCACACTGTGAGGCTACACCTGTGCTTGGTGTTCCCTCCAAGGCAGGCAGCTGACTTCCCTAGGCTCCCAGCTCTCAGGAAGCTGCCCAGGTCCCAGGTTCTCCCCACCCCCCCAACCAGGGTCTCACTCCCAGTCATACTGAGGGTCTCCCACACGCCTCAGAAAGCGATAGAGGTGCTAGCCCGTTCTTCCTTCCCCAGGGCAGTGGGGCTGTTCTGAGCCAGGCTAGAGAAATAGGAGCATATTCACTCCTTGGAGAATAAAAGCCACAGAGGATGCTCCCCCGGTGCTGTCGCTATCTGCTGCCCACCCCTCCCTGGGGTGCTGGGGTTCACACTAAATCATTCCCGTGAGGCCCAGCCTGCCTGTGTGTGTGGTGTCAACTTTTGTGCCTTCAAGATCCAGATCTTTAAATTTTTACATATTTATTAACATGGCCCTTGGTGTTTTGTTTTGGATCACAAAACATTGTGTTGTGTTTTTCTTTTCTCTTTTTTTGGAGGAGAGGGACAACAAAGCCAGAATTGTAATGTGCTGGGCTAGGCTGTAGCACCGTGATTGGGGTGGGCGTGGACAGGGAGGGACTGGAGCCACACCGAGACTCAGCTCCTGCCTGGTCATGCCACCATCCAGAATTTGGCCCAGAGGGTGGAAGTGACTGGAGGTAGTTTTGGGGTCTCCTTAGGAAAGAATGTTCTAATAGTAGAGCTATTCAAACACATGAGGGAAGATGGTGAGAGCGCATTCCATGAAAAGTCTAAGCAGAACATGAGTCCCGACAGAAAGTGGGAGAATTGCAATGCAGCTTATGGGCAGGGGGGCATGGGAAATGTGTTGTAAGATGTAAAGTTCCTGGAGGATCCATACCTCACTCCTTGACCAACGCAGGCATCACTAATCCATCACCACACTCTTTCAGTCAGTATATCACAGGCCCTTCCCTGACATTTATAGGGCCCGGACAAGTGCACAGAGACCCCTCCAGGGACCTCACATACTTGTGTGTGGGTAGTCAAGCCCTCAAGTTCAAGCTCCATTTTTATTCATTTGTACACAGTCTCCTCAGGGGGGCGCCGCCTTTTAAACAGCTGCCATTTGGACCTAGAGGTATCCACAGGATGATTCAGTCCCCTCAGAGGGGGCTGACCTGGGAGATATTTGCACAAGCCCTGGAACTGCCCTTGGGGTGTCCAGGCAACAAAATCTGTGGTCCCATGTGCCCAAAGGATGGCCTGCAACAAGAAGGCCTGTGGACACCCTGGTGCGCAACGCCCTTGAGCAGAGCATTCCTTGTCATCATGGCTCGTATGGGCAGAGGGGCGCCCTTTAAGAGCCCTATCATCTTGACTATAGCTACACTGGTACATTGCATGGGGCAGGACTAAATCAAGGAAATGCTTGCTAGTGTGCTCCCAACATGTGCCCATGGCAGACATAGCCAATCCATCGCCGCACCGAGTCCAGGTACACTTAAGAATCCTTCATATATTGCCCCAGCAGCGACCTCTGTTGGACTTGCTGGGACAAGGAGCTGCCATGTTGGATTGGATCAGTGATTTAAATGTTACACCGTTGAAAACCTTTGTCAGTTAACCTCTCAGGCAGAAGCTCAACATCTCAAAGCAGGATTGCAGTGCTTGAATTTAGGAAATGAGACTCAGGAAACTCAAGGAATTTCACTCACCTCGAGGGCCCGACAGAGTCCAGTGTGGGAGGCTGAGAAGTCTATAAAAGCCTAAGATTCTGAGGAACTGTGAGCCCATCCACTCACTTGGAATATGAGAGTGACATCACTTGCCTTGATAACACTGAAATAGCACAACCAGAAAGTGCAGAGGACGATGACAAAAAAAGATGCCTCCGGTGGTCACTGGGTTCTTGGTGGAGTGGGCGTAAGGGCTGCAGTCAGTGGGGGTTGTTGGCTGCACCACAGCGGCAGCGAGGGGCAGGGATCCTCAGGTGTCCCCTGTGGAGTTTAGCCCCCTTTTCAGGCTGCTTATGGCCTCCAGCCCCATGGGCACTGTCAGCCTGAATGTGGAAGCCCAAGCCACCTGCTTAGGATGGAGGAGACCACAAGCCACCACCGTACCCACCCTCACAATAAGAGAAAGATGGACAAGCTGCACAGTTGTTTTTCTTCAGCTCCTCAGAGGGCTGAGTTTGCGAGGTAAGCAGGTGAGCTGAATTCTGAAGGGTGACAAATCCCCTCTGAGAAGGGACAGGACACACATGCATTTCCACCACTGGTTGAACATGGAGGTAGCTGGCATGTAAGCAGGTAAGAAAACACAACTGGAATTTTAACAGTTTTTTTTTAAAGATTTATTTATTTGTGCATACAGAACTGGGGTACAGGCCAGAGGCTCAGGGGCAGCGAGAGGCTTCACCAGAGACAGAGTGGGGAGCAGAACAGGCAGGTCAACGAAGTACACTGCTGAGGGGAGCAGTGGGCGGGTCAGGAGAGGTCTGCCACGCCATGTGGTCTCCTCCGGGGCAGGTGGGAATCGAACTCATGTGGAAGTGGCTTTAACTTCTCAGTGCTGTGCTTTAACCCGCCGCGCCACCAGGGACTTTTAACAGATTTTTAAATGTTACTGTGACCATTTGGAATCCTGGGGCACCGTGCTCCGGGGAGGCTGTGCTCACTCATCAGCTCCTGTCCACCGGCCTCTGCTGGAGGCACGTGAATAAACGCTGGGGCAGGGCAGGACCCCACAAGAGCACCTCTTGGAGCTTGGAACATGTTGCAGAGTGCAGATTAAGAGCGTGATACCTGTTGACACAAGATGCTTTTCTGTATAAGTATAAAAAATGACAGGGCCTTGCTGAGGGAGATGTGGAAATACCTAAACAGAGCAGACTGTTCATGAAGCAGTCTCATTAAGCTGCCGATTTTCTCCAAAATGAACTGTACCTTTAAGACTACTCCCATTCATTCCAAAAGGCTTTTAAAAAAGAAACAGACAAAATGATGATAGTTTTTATGGAAATGTAAAGGATCTAAAACAGCCAAAGCCATTCTGATAAAGAACAAAGTTGGAGAATTTACACTACCTGATTTCTAGAGTATTAGCAGTCAAGATGGTATTGTACTGGTATAAGACAAGACATAAAATAATGGAGTAGAATAGAACTAAAAATTAGCCCACACAACCATGGTCAGGTTTTTTTTTTTTTCTTTCTATATAATAGTTTATTTTTACATCATTTTGTGCATTTTTCCATCTCAATTGTAATTTCCTAGGGCTTCCCAACGATGGTTGGTTTTTAACAAGGTATGAAGGTGATTCCATTGAGAAAGGATTGTCTGTTAAATAGACACTGGGAAAATGGAAGACCCATGTGAAAAAAAGTAAACCTCAGTCCTTACTTCCTATCATCTCTAAAAATGAACTCATTCAAAATAAGTAACCCACAGGTAGTACGCTATAAAATTTCTGGGAGAAATCATTGAAAAAACTTTCTGTGACCTTGGATTAGACTCTCAAAGCACAAGCCATAAAAACAAGATTGACAAACTGGATTGGGTCAAAACTAAAACTGTCTACTCATCAAAAAGCAATGGTAAGGGCCCTCCCTGGTGGTGTAATGGGTTAGGACACAGGACTGGAGGCTGGCTGCAGCCTCTTCATGTGAGTTTGATCCCAGGCCCCAGAGCTGACCACATGGCGTGGCAGACCTCTCCTGTCTCGCCTGCTGCTCCCCTCAGCAGTGTACTTCGTCGATCTGCCTGTTCTGCTCCCCACTCTGTCTCTGGGGAGTCCTTTCACCCCCGCACCTCTGGCCTGTATTGCAGTTCTTGTACACATAAATAAATCTTTTTTTTTTTTAAAAAGGATAACCAGGATAATGGGAGATTCTGGGTCCCCCAAGATCTCTGAGTATACCCCACTGTTTTC